AAGCCGTAGCCTGACGTACAAGAATCATGGACACCAACATTAAAATTTAAAATTAAAGAGACTCAATCCATTGGTTTTAAGGTAGCAGAAAAATATGAATATTATGATTTCATGTTTGAAGACCATAAATTTGTAGATTTGAAAACAAACATGGGAGAAAAAAAGTCCATATGTATATGAGATGGGTAAATAAAATTAATGGAAAAGGACTAGAAAGGAAAATAGGGAGACAATATGTAATGTAGTTATATATATATATATATAAAAGATAAATGGATTTTCTCGTCTCCACCCAATTTAATTTTCAGATGCTTCATCAGATGGCATTCAATATAGGATCACACCAATCATAATGATCCGAGTGATGAAAAATACTTATGGAACTACTTTTCATTGATTTTTACAGTAATTTCCATCCACAACAAACAACAACAAGCTTTTATCCCACTATGTGGGGTCGACTAGTTGAATCCTTTTTCTTCATTGTGTCTTGTTCGGAGTCAATTTCTCATCTAAATTTAATAAAGAAATGTCATTTATAATATTTTCTAACCAAGTCTTTTTAGGTTTATCTCTTTCTTAACATAAGTCAAATCCAATACATCTACTTTGCTAACCGGGTCCACAAAAAAGTAATCAATTTGATTCATGTTTCTTTTAAATAAAAATCATTAAATAAGCTTTAAATTTTGCACAGAACATGCATTGAATTTGAGATAGCTTGGAATATTTTTTGATGTGAAAATAACAAATCCCTTCCAAATCAATCAAAATCATCAAAAAACTTCGTACATGCAATGGTCGAGCAAATGACTAAAAATACATCAAATTTTTATCAAGAATTTTAATGATGTCAAAGATAGTAGAACATCATGATCCTACATTTGAAGTTCGACAAATTAATATGAATTAGAAGAGAATATCAATTATATTCTTTTTTCTTCCCTTTTGATAGAAAAGTTTTTCATTTATAAAAATGAAGAATATATATATATATATATATATAGAGAGAGAGAGAGAGAGACTTTCCCATCCTACGAGCAGACTGACATTCTCCTCCACAATTTCTAGAGTATGGCATTCAGATCTAAGTTCAACATCAACCATCCTCTCGAGTGGAATACAGGATTTTGTATACGTTTTAAAGGTTTGATCATTCACCAAGTATTTTAAAGAACTATTGACGGGCAAAACAAATGCCTTGAGTGAAATTGAGCAACTTTAACTAGATATTGAAATTTTGTTTAAAACTCCAACAATTTGGACTTCTTGAATGCTAGATGAAAAGAATATCGAATAAAGCAGCACACAACACATGATAAAACATTCTAAACAACAAATATGCTAAATCAAAGGTTCACAAGGCTAATAACAGAACACAATTAAAATCATTAGAAAATAAGATTGGAATGGAATTTGATGGGATGCAGATAAAACAAATGATATTTAAGATATACCAAGTAAGTCTGTTTGAACACTGGTAGATAACTGAGATCATCTGATTTGCCCCATGCCTCAATCAACTGCAAAGCTCTCTGCCTATTACTATAATGTGTCTGCGGATTATCAATCATCTTTACCATTTCTTCTAGGACCTTCTCAGAAGCCACTTCTGAGAAGACCTTTTCGCAGTTCATTGCACAAGCCTCCAGCAGGTCAAAACTCAGCCGTTGACCAATGGGACTCTTGCCAGAGATCTTCTTTTTTATTATCCTCACCACTTCAGACCCGTCAAACTCCTCACTGTTAAGCAAATTGCAGATCCTCAGATTTAGACCCCAGTTTGGTTCTTCCAAACTCTCTGATGTAGCTTCCTCAACCATTTTTGCTTCTTGTGACTGGCCTTGAAGAATCTCCTTCATTTTTCCACTAAATTTTCTTCCCATTTCGGCACCCCCAACCTTCAAGCGCTCACCTCCAATCTTCAAACGCTCTCCAAAAGCAGCCAGCTTCGTCTTATCCATCTCTCCCAATTTAATACGGGTCCAATATATCGCTGGTCAGATTTGACTCCCAGAGTGCAGTATAACTTCTTCTAGAATGACCATTGACTTGACTTCTGTGATAAATTCCTCTATATACGATCACTGGACAGAAATTTTAAGACCAATAAGGTGCCAACAGCAATAATAATTGATGAATATCTAATTAACTTGTTAAAAATTTAACGCAGCATCTAAATTTTGATCAAGTAATCTGCAATTTTCCAATGGGGAAAGAAAATCTAAGAGAATCTCTCAGCACCAATTACCCTAAATATTGCAAGCACAAATACATTCTATGTTCATGACATAATATAAACAATAAAAAAGAAAACCAAATAAGAAAACCAAATGAAAACTTACGATTTAAAAATTAAGCATATGATATAGGAAGATAAGACATCCCTTACGAACTAGCCATAGAAAAAATAACAAAAAAAACATGTAATTCCCCTACAGAATTTTAAAAGAACTCCTCTTCTGATGTGACAAGAACTTGTCATCAATCAGGAAAAAGCCAAAATAGGTGGAACTCATTGTGGCAGCATGCTACTCACGGCAGCAACACCAACACAGTCCCATTGTTCAGTAGTAACTGTGCCAGCAAGGGAAGCATATCCATAATGCAAAAAAATAGCGGTGTATCGATATCAGCAGACAACCAATGCCAGAAAAAGATGAAAATATTTCGAACTAAAATTTTGTGATTATATCACATCTAGTAATTTAGTGATTAAATCAGGCACTTAAAAGGATGGCAAACCAAAATAAAACTAAGCTACTCCAAGAAAAAGAAAGGTGAATTCCTACATAATCATTGGGTCACGATTAAATAGCACCATCACTCCTTTGAAATCCCATTGTTGATATCTTGATTAGAACCTTACCTGTAAAGTGGCATCATAAATCCTTGAACACTGCTATGAAAAATAACTAAAATGGAATTATTCCATCCTATGACTTCACTAAGGCGCATATTCATTAAAGTTCTCAACACATGGATCCATAAGATAGTTGGTCTTTTGCAAATTTATAAAATTTTCTTAATGGTTCCATGATTTTATCATATTGCATTTCATTATTAAAGCACCTCTTATTTCAATCACCACACCTTGAATCTAAAATTTTTAATCTTATTAGTATCCAATTATTTAGTTCAATAGATTCAAGGATTCAAACCACTAAAACAGCATGGCATATCACTAGGTCTATCAATAATATTCGTGAATTATCAATTTTATATCCATTAAAATTCAATATTATATGCTTAGTCTTTATTTTACTAATAGTAAACCCTTTAACTTCAAAAATTTTCTGGATTGCACTAATTATTCTCTTACTATATCAGAGGTTCATCAATCAAAATTATGTCATTTGCAAATAACAAACAGTACTAAGATACCTCATCTTGAATTTCTTCAGCACCTCCACTGATGCATTGTAGCATTTCTTTCATTTTTTGTTTATGTGAATAAAACCACGATTTCCCTCTCCATATAAAACAACAGCAATACCCAGATACCCTCAATACGCAGTTCTCTTGGAACTGAAAAAAGCAATCTAAATCCAATAGGATAATTGAAACATCAATTCAACATATCAGTTAAATGGGAAAAAACTATCTAAAGTAATCACGATCAATTCATAAATTCTTAAAGTGAAGATAAAATTGGGCCATTTCTAAAGCATAAAAGACAAAAAAAAATTGCTATGAACACCTAAAAAATATCTATAACAGGCACTTGTACTCTAAAATTTTCAAGTGAATAAATTGTGAATATGCTCACCAAAGGACTATTAGGGGCAGACTTTCAAAAATTATCAAGCAAGCTTGCAATTGATGACATCTATTTATTCGCTTGAGGGGAAGTGTGAAACATCTGCATATTTCCACCAGGTATAACTCACACTAACTGAGACTCCTGCCCTTTTACATCTACTACCACCTCATTAATCCATGGGATCCCTACTACCTACTCATCAATCTATGAATTATTATAATTATTTATAATTATTTCCACCAGGTGTTAATGCTAGGGCGTCCCCTGGAAGCGACGCGCTGTATGGCCTGAATACAGTAACAAGTGTGTAAGGGCCGCTGCACCGGCGCCCGGGTGCAGTGTTAAATAAAAAAGGGTTCCCACATCAAGGACGGATGTGGGCAAAGA